CAACGCGTGGCAAGCACGATTTGAGTTTGGGCTCTTCAGATGTATTGATACAGGCTGGTGTTGATAATCTCGATGCGAAGATCTTCCGCCATTTCATCGTCGACGTCAATTCTGGCTTTCATGGCTGACGACGACCCTCCGTCACGTCGGTCGTTCTCGCCGCTCGTAGGCATGATATAATACAAGCCTTTTGACTTCAGGTGACCAGGTCCTACATTCGCCATACATTCCGGTTGTCTCCGTTCAACAACTCTATGAGTGACTGGTAGCTCGACAAGTTTGGGCTCATGACCTGATGCGAGGTCTGTGCCGAGGGGTGGCAGTGACGCGTGTAAAACCGAAAAATGATTTGATTGTTGTCAAAAGTTAGACAATGTATGAACACTGTAAAGCCTCAACCACTCTTTGGCGTTCTATGCCGTTTGTATGCAGATGTGATGCCCCCCTTTGCTAGATACGAATCTGCTGGCATGGCGACTCTGCCCCATGGGACTGCCATTCCTGGACAGAGGATATTTGGTGCTCGAGCTATGTAGGAACAAAGTTGGCGGGCTGCGTTGGGAGGAGAATTTGACCACTTGACAAGACTTTAAATTGAAGAAGCCACCAATATCGCAGAATTTGCAAACTACTAAACCCACGTTATCACGGTGTTACGTTTGGCACCATTGTGACTGCATTGGAGGTTGACCATTCAAGCCCGACGTGCGCCGCGCCATCTACGAAACTCTTCTTGAAGTTAGTTCAAACGGTACACTACCTGATGGAGCATACAGTAGTGCTGCAAACAATTGGTTGTCATCCACGATTGGTAGCAGGTGTGTGGACACGCGGAGAACTGATTGAGTAATGTCAGTTTCTCTACAAGTGTTGACTCAAAACTTCATGATAAATACTCTATAGATTTAAATTGCCTTTTTTACCATTGCAATGCACGATTGAGAAATATGATGAACGCTCACGGGATAGATACACACTTCACCCATACAACACATGATACAATATACAGTTATACAGGTGAAACGATACACTTGATAAATCGAAACATACTACTGATTTCCCCCCGACTTTGGAACAGGCAAAAAAATGCATTTTTGACAGTATATAAGGAATCACAGTTATTAGTTTTCACTCAAGATTGGCTGAACCGATGGTTCGCTGTCAAGAATGCCAGTTCGTTTCCAGCAGTTTGAGATGGTTACTTGCGAAACACTGCGCCATGTCTCCTTCGACCAGGCCATGGCCTCGATCAGAGGTACGCGATGGCGCGTCCGACGGTCTGCTTCGATGGCGTAGAGCACAGATTGAACGTCTCCTTAGCCCAAAGTGCCAGCTCGGAATACGTCAAATGTGGTTCTTGTAAATGCTTAACATGCAAGGCATGTTTGTCGCCCAACATCATGCGCAGCTTCATCTCTGAATTGACTTTAGCCACATTGATATCATGCATGCATTTGAATATTTGAATGAACTTTGTCATTTGATATTATTCATTTCCAGAAATTATCGTGATTTAGCCGTTCCAAAGTCGGGGGGAAATCAGTATTGTCAGTTTGCATAACCAATTAAATGACGTGTCATGACAACTTTGACACTGCCTTTCGATTCAGCAAGAGTTTGCCTCAGGAACCTTCCCAACGAATTCAAGAACACTTTATAGTACCAATACATCCAACATGAAACGATGTTATCACTCACGCATTCTGCACGAATTGGCTAAATACCCAACTCCATCAAGGCATCCAGCACGTCCAAATCGTCGCTGTTCAAGGCGATCGCTTCGAGCTCCGTGTCTAGCTCGTCTATGTGCCTTTCGTGCTCCCTTTTTGAAGTCAACGCACGATCCATTTCGGCACACGACACGGCATCCAGTTACCTTTGGCTGCGTACTCACATCTCATGGACACACGTTTTTGGCAATTCAGAACGCTGGTGAAACGTACATGCCACTCTGGTCGGTAATTACTGCAGGCATTGACAAAAAGTGGTGATGGACTTGTCGGATTGGTCTAAAAAATGCGTGGAGCATGTTTAGTCTTGACTGTTCCAGGGCTAATTTCTAAACCATTTTATTATTAACACATTTGCACCAGCTACGCCCATGACAACTTCCAATACAAACTACAAGTCAAATTTATGCAATGACACGAGCTGCTCACAGTCAGCACCATGGAACGCTGTCCCACAAGAAGATGGAGACAGTCTACAAAGCGTTCGGTGCCCATTCGTCGACTGGGGGGCGTAAATGGTAGCGCGGCAACGACAGCAAGTCCACCAACACGTGTGTCAACGTGATGGCAGAATGCATTTGTCCAGACAGAGAAAGACCTACACGACGGACGAAATTAGCCAGCGAATCAAGTCCACCCCAATGCACCGTCACCTAATGCATCGTTCTCTGGCGGTCCCTAGGGACTGTTGAAGTGGACATTCCCCTTTCATTTCTTGTTATTTCAAATTTTCGGGGCTTCAATACTGTAAAAATTGCCGCCAGTCGAACCAAATCGAGTCTGTAAATCGTTTGAAATTCGAATCAATCAATCAAAAAATAATTCAACATTTTCGTGGAATTCTGTGGAGCCCCTTTCTGCCAAGCCAATCGAACCCGTGTTCCATTTTCCCGCAGAAACTAGCAACCCTCAAAATACTCCGCTCCCAGCAAGGACATACTCATGTGCTTTAAGAATTTGCTCAGTCCAGACGTTCCCACAAATCATCCTTGGCATAAACGGAGTACTGATTTCCCCCCTCTCACCGAACAGTTGTCTACGAAAGTGTATAATAGGTTACAAGTTTTTGTTGGTATTGAAAGTCAAAGAATCGTTCACTGCGGATGATTCACGTATAACTACTACTTCTTTACGAAACATTCACGAAACAAACTCCTCAAAATCTATATTTGCCATGCGGCGGTCTTTTCACGAAGCAAACTCACATGTGTCGAATATCTGCGCAACTCGCCCCAATGCCGCAACGCTCAAGCTGTGGCTTCCTCTGCTACAACTCGCCGACTGGAAGTATGGCGTAGCTCCTCGGCCATCCGCGGGCGTCGGTATTAGCGTCGCAGGCAACCTCGCGATATGCAACGACTACAACCTCCCTGTTCCATGCTATCTTCTTTGGCACCGACAACATCTCATTGTTAAAGCAAACAAACATGTCAGTCGCATTGTCGAGGAGCGTCACATCTCTTGCAACCCTTCTTACATCCGTGCCCGCAGGATAGGGCAATCCAAGACACCCCTTATCGAGGACATCGAGGTACGAGCTCGACCGCAGCTGTTTGCGACAATCCTCTACATCCAACGTGTCCCGGGAAAATGGGACGGTAGACGGGTCAACGTTGGACAATGACGACAAGCTCGTCGGCGATCCAGAGGACTATGTTGGCTTTGTGCTGGGCCAAGCCCCTAATGGCGCCATGCCCGCCGTCATGGATGCCGCGACGATAAAGGACGGGGCTTCAGCACAGACGACTGCGCCATCCGCGACGCGTCACCCGTGGTCGTTGCCGACGACAAAATCAACACCAGCACCAATGGGGATCGGGTGGAAGTAGACAAGGACGACACGTGCAAGCACTAAACTCTGCAACATGTTAATAATTTGAGAAGGTTACTGTGCTACCTCTAATAATTCTTTTCAGCTCACTTTGCATTGCAACTCCGTGCTCAATGCTGAGATACTTTATTGTGCTTTGGACGGGGTTTCACCCCATGCACTTATGGTGGCGAATGAGTTGTACTGGAGTGGAATGAATTCGTCGCCGTGGCGATTTCTCTTGATGCTTGAGTGTTGTAATATGGCATTCCTACCGACACACTGAGGGGTAGAATTATGGCTTCTCCGACCCCACACGACGAGTGATGCTTTTCTAACCAACGTGTCAATCGTGCAATCGTTGTGTCGTATTGCCTCCTCGTGCTGGTGACCACGCGGAGAGCAATTATGTCGTCGCCCGGCTCCACAGACGCATTGACTTCATTATGCATTCTCTTTGCGGCCATCGTCTAGTGCCTCCGACTGGCCATGGCGCCACAGCCAGAATAAAGCCATAAGAATCTATAGTAGATATCTTTCCGGATACCTGTGTTTCGTAAAACCATTATATGGTAGCATATTTCCAGAAGCATACAAACTTGATTTACATTTCTAGGCGTTACGAAACAAGATTGTTTCGTAACTCCAGATATTTTGAGCGTTTCGTGTTTCGAAAATTCATATTCACGAATTTTATCGTCCAAATTCGACAACCTACCACTGAATGCGGCAAGGTCGTCGTCCATGATGCCAGTTCGAGCCCAACAGTTCGTCATAGTGGACTGTGTCATTGACCCCCACGCTTCCTTGACCTACCCTTTGCAACATTAAGAGGTACCTCTTACAACCGGTTTTGTCTTGGCTCCTTCGACCACCGGCAGCGCGACCCGTTGTGCCTTCGTGTGCTTGGCATTGTCGGCACGCTTGCTCGGTGTGCTGTAACTCTTGAGAACATGCGCGGCAATGTACATCGATGGAGATGACGCGAGACCAATTGTTTGGGCTGCCCATAAGGTCAGAGCAGAGTAGGATCCAATAGGCTCGCTTAAATGCTTCGCATATAACTCATGCTTCTCCATAAGAGTCATCCGCAACTTCATTTTGCTTGGCATGTCTCGCCTGATTTGCTGTACTTGTACGTGAATGTGTTCAAGTTTGAAAATCCCTCTGGCATTCAAAGTTAATAGAAATGATCAAATTTACAATCAAATCATCAAATTTACCCCAACCGGACAGCGGGGGGATATCAGTACTTTTCTGTGGGAAAGAAGGAGTATTCGATTGCATTGATTGGCTGAACATATTTCAGCAGAATACAAGTGTTTTTTTGATTGGTTGACCTTTTCATTCGATTTGCCAAGTCGATTTCATTCGATAGGGGCCGGCTAGTAGAATTGGTGTAGCAAATAGTAGTACTAGTTCACTGTGGGATTTCGCCCAGTGGATGAATGTCATTGCTGGAATTGTGTGCGCAGGTCGTGGGGCGGGCGTGCGACGTGGAAGAGATCCTGTCATGGATCCAATTCCTTCCCAAGTTTGCGTCCAGAAGTGTATGGCGTCACATGAGTCCAGCGCGCTTGAGGGAACTCGAGATTCTTGTGCTAGAGTTGGCGCCTGACGTTGCCGTCCTCGACGAGTTCGAGCGGCAATGGGAAGTGTGGACGGAGGCTGATGCAAGCGTTGTGTTTGACGGATACGAGTCGAGCCGGTATTTTGGGCACGACAGCAACTTTATCCATAGCTCGAGTTTGGTGGTGCCACGGTCCTTTCGCTCGTTGTACTGGGAAAGGGTGTTCCGTGTCATGTTGGCGACGACCGAGGCGCCGCTGACCATCCCCCTCCATCTCTTCCAGAATGTAGTATATGAAGTGAAGCTCCGTGGCAATGAACTCACGAAATCGAATGTCGAACGCATCTTGACCTGGACGACACTACATCGCATCGAACTCCACCACGTCCACGAGCAAGCGTCGTCCCAAGAGATCTCGACCTCCTTTTGGACGCACCTCAGCACTCTCGTGCAGCGCGCCGCAAGTCTCCGTGAGATTGGCATTCTTCACAGCACGCTCTCGTGCGCCCGACCCCTCATCACCGCCCTACGCGGCCGCGACCTTGCCCCCATCACAATACTCGAGTTTGTGTCTGTCACGCTGCGTCAGTCGGCGTATGCAGATCTCGTGGCCTTTGTCAGCTCTACCCTCGCGACTGGTCTCCGACTTTCCAACTCGATTCCAGACGACATGGACGCGAGAAGTCTCCTCGTACCAGCGCTCCGGAACCTTGACACTGTTCTCATCGAACACGCTGACTTTGACGACGTCGTGCTTCCAACCGCATCGGAGCTAGTCACATCACGCACAACGCGCCTCTCCCTTGGCAGCAACGGCATCTCCGACGTGTCCTTCCTGGCGCGGTGTGTGCACTTGGTCGAACTGGACGTTTCCCACAACGACCTCCAGGACGGAGGCATCTCTTCATTCGCAACGACATGCCTTCCCCACATGCCGGCCCTCATCAAGCTATTCGTAGTCGATTGCAACTTTTCATCGACGGGGGCCACAACTCTGTTGAATGCGATCGCGTCCGGCCCCATGACGTTGCGCGTGCTGAATGCCGGTCGAAATTTCCTCGAGGCAGCGATTCAAGAGAGTGTCTTGGCGCCGTTCTTGATTGGTTGCCCGTCCCTCGAGTGTCTCCATCTCAACTACATTGGCCTCGGCAGTGTCATATCTCCGGCATTCTGCGCTGCGCTTGCACAGCACCCACGTCTGGCCCAGCTCTCTCTCGGAGAGAACCGTCTTCGCGACGAAGGGGCTGCGGCGATCTTTGCTGCGATGCCATTTCCCATGCAGGCGGTGGACCTGAGTGGCAACCTCATCACTCGTCGGGGACTCGACTCCATTGCGAACCACGTGACGTCCTGGCTGTCTTCGAGTTGCAGCCCTCCCACTCGCCGCCGACGCCTCATGAACGGTTCCGTGGCGTCGTCCCAACGACTGTGCTGGGTCGAAGAACTCAACCTTCGCAGCAATCGATTTGACGCAATCGATCTCCACAGCACCCTCGCATCCCTCCAAGATGCCCTCCCAATTGTGTACGCGAACGAGTGGCGACACAATGCCGTCGCTGCGTACGACGATCAGAGAGTATAATCTTGAAAGGCATGGCTGCCCATTCTCGTTGACGTGAATTTCATCCCTGTCGTGTATATCGTGTGATGAGGACGCTGGGGATCGAACCCGGGCCGAATTGCCACCTTTTCTCTTTGGGACAACCAGCACTGGGTTACCGAGTTGTGGACGATGGACGTGGAGACTTTGGAATTTGCATCCATAATAATTGACGTGGTCAGGGCTACAGAGATCGAAGGACACTTGTGCAGCCAGCCCATCGAGACGCACATACTCCGCGTGTGGGTGATACCTGTGCTACGAGTGGGGCATCGCGTTGGCCATGAAGTCGTTCCCAAATGCATTCATCCTACAACCAGTGTGTTGAACAGCTTGTCATTAGCAATGTCGATAGCGATCTGCCTTGCACACATGAATCCACTTCATGTGTTTGGTTAATTTTCTCGTGGCATTTACCCCAGGCAACATACAGGTCGACAGCGGCGGATGCTCCAGAGGATGAGGACATTCTCGGCACCGCTTGAAGCCCATGGTTTCCTCGTTGTTGCCCAGGTGGGCATGCATCACGAACGGTACATGAACAAGCCGCATGAAAACTGTCCTCATCGCCGTAGATGACTCTCGTCGCCCCGTGTAAATAGAATGACGAGGACGCTGGGGATCGAACCCGGGCCGAACTGCTACCTTTTCTACAAGGGACACGTTTTTGGTAACACCGGGTTGAGTGGCGTCAACCTGTCGCTGCAAGCTTCTGGCAGGGTAGGGGTGGTTGAGGAGAGTGTCCCTATTGCAAGGGGCCGTATACGCCGTGGGGATGCGGTCCCAAATGCAGCCTCCTCTGGGATTTGAAGATCCCTTATGCGGTTGTAAAAATAAGTCTTGGTCGGCTGTGTGAGACGGCGATCAATGCGGCGCCCGTTTAGTCAAGTCGTGAAAAGCGATAGACGACGATTCCGGGTGGAAATGACTGTAGCCCTGACAGCTAGGCATCCTGCTCTGTGACATTCTTCGATACCATCCCGCAATATTTTTGCCAGGTTGCTGCTCTCCATGTTTTTGAACATGCAGGGCTCCTATGCATCCCGTCTTTCCTTCTCAGCTGAGCTCCAACTACAATGGCATGGGCAGCGCTCTACCGCGATCGCTTTGTCCTGCTATGGGCAACTCGTTGGACACGCCCTTGCTATCTACAGTTGAAAACGCCGTTGTCGCGATATAGACAGCCATCCTGGGCGGTCAGTGTGGACACAGGTGCGCAGGTGAGTTTGAAAGCGAGTCCTTGTGTACAACGCGGCATGAGCTAATGGGCTTCGAATGAAGTTCGTGGCGTGCTACTACACGCCTTATCTCTTCTTGGCAGCTTTGTCCTTTCGTCGACCGATGGCGGCGGCAGTCTTCTCCTGGATGTCGGCAATCTTGCAAGGTTTGACATCTTCCTCTGGATCGTCGCCATCGTCGTCCATGAAGTCAGGCGGTTGCGGGTGTAAATCGTGGCCGCCGCCCCCCGGAGCCAGCAGAGCTTTCTTTGCGGTGCTTGAAGGAGACACCGATCCTTTGAGTGTGGCTGACGTGGCGGACGTAGCGTCCATCTTGCCCGACTGCTGGGCGTACACGATGTTGTGCATCTGGACGATCTCGCCAATGCGCTTTTCGATGATGCCGAGGAATTTGAGCATGTTGATGTCGGTGAGGCCGGTCGAGTTGAGCTGTTGTAGAAGTACTTCATCGTTGTACCCGATCTTGTGGAAGATGTTCATCGCGCCCGTCTTGATCGAGTCGATGATTGCCATGGACTCTGCGACGCGGACTTCGAAGTGCGCCGCCTTTTGTTTGGACTTTTCGATCTGCTCCTCCAGACTCGCCTTGATGCGGACGCGGTTGATGTCGCTGCCAGATCCCTGGCACTCCTGGATCATGTCCTGGAAGCGATTGTTTTCGATCTCGACCGCCTCCATTTCCGTATTGAGCTCGTTGATCATGTTGAATAGCGAAAAGTTCTTCTCCTCCGCCGACATGAGCGCATTCGCGAGCTCCCCGATGTCCTTGATGCCAGTCTTCTTGCGAATTTTGGCCAAGCCATCTTCGTATGACTTGAGGCGCTCCGTCTGCTTACGCAGGTCCGCTTCCTTGGCGCTAATCAACCACGATGTCTTGAGTGTCTCGTCGCGCAACTTGGCGTCCGGGGTGGTGCTTTCGCGGTCGACGCTATCGTCCCCATCGATGAACATGGACCCATGATGTTGCGACGCACGCAAGTGCGCTCGGTCCATCTCGATCACGCCCTTGAGTTCGTTCCACTCGGCTTCGAAATGCGCCGTCTCCTCGGCGGTTTGCAGCCGCAACGCTTCCACCTGCCGCTGCGCGCGATCCCGCGCATCGTAGATACTTTGCGTCATTTGGCCGGTCTTGGCGACATCCACCTGCTTGGCGTGTAGCTCCCGGTCCAGTTTTTCGTGAATCTGTTGCTGTTGGACTTTTTCCCGCCGGAGGTTTTGAATTTGATCACGCAGCTTCTTGTTCGCATTGCACTAGGAACGAGATGAAGCACGTGTTTGCGCGGCACGACGTACCGCTTCATTGAGGCGAATCAAGACCTTCTCCAACCGATTTTCGAGTGTCCGAATCGAGCGCTGGTCGAGCGTCGGATCCGTGGGCTTGGCTGGCCCGCTGGTTCCCATGCCACCCGTGGAGCTCATCAGTTTTTTTGTTTCGTTGTGCGTGTCACGATAATGCTATATGTGCATGTGATCATGGAGCTGGACGCGACCGAGGCGTGTACCTTGAGCTGCTGGTCGAGCTCGTCGCTGCGCCGCTTTTCGATCTCGACTTTGCGCGCGTAGTAGTCGCCCTGCACTTGGAGCGCGCGGATCTGGTCCTGGAGATATGTCTCGTTCCGGCTCGCAGCACTCATGGACGTGCTCATGAGGGCGGTGCCTTTGAACGCCCCGTCGATGAACTATAAATGGCACGACCCTGTCGGTTTCACTTTAGCGGCTGTGGGACTCTTTCGAGCAGTGTGCTTGCGACGCTGCGATCCCCTGCGACGAATACACTTTACGTCTTTCTTCGTCCCGACGTATTGGGTTAACTTCCGTGTGAATCCTTCGCCGTCGTCACATAGCAGGGGCAAACGTTCGATACTGCAGTGCGATTCAAGCCCAGCCACTCCTCGAACACATGAATGTAGCGCTAAAAGCCCCTCCATCGATGCATGCTCGAGTTCGCCGGGAGCAATTGGCCCACAGGGACTGCGACCATGAGTCATACGCCGACATTTTGGCACATGTCGTCGGTGTTCTGGGTACTGATGATGCATGGCAGGGTGAGAAGTGGCAATACGCAAGGAATGCCAGTCGAACGACAGCATCCATGGTGGACAACGGCGCTCCAGCACGCATCGACGCCCGCTTGGCCATTCTTGCGCGTGCCGCCGCCCCAGTTTCATCCAAACCGTTTCACTGGTGATCCGGATACATTATCCGTATATCCAATCAGCGACAAAGGTTTGGCGTTCCACGTGCGACGGCCACGAAGCGGTTGACCTCCCGCGGAAAACTCATTGCCGCTGCGATGGCCACGGTCTCTGCTCGGCTTGTGGCGACATCTTTGCTGGTGACGGCACTGATAACCGCTGATCCACCTGCGCCATCGTCTGCGGTCGTGGCCGAGCCCGCAGAGCTGCCAGCTTCAATCGATGGATCGACATCCGTTGACGACGCCAACGACTTGAACGGCGTTTGCCGCACATTCCACACGAGTGGTAGCTGGTGGCGGTACGAGTGGTGCCACGAGGGTCACGTGCGGCAGTACTCTGTCGATGCCACCACTGGCGACGAAGCCGACGTGATTTTGCTCGGCACATTCGACGCGACACATAGCAGCAACCTCCACAACAACCGTGCCCCGGACAACCATCGTGCGTACTTGTCGCATGTCTTTCTCCATGGTGATATGTGTGCGTCTGCGCAAGTTGCGCGGCATCGCAGCACCCAAGTCCGATTCACGTGCTGCGTGTTTCGGCCGCAGGAAACGTACATTGAGTCGGTGGCCGAGCCGCGGCTGTGCGACTACCTCGTCACGGTGTGTACTCCCACCGCATGCAGGACGTCGCCACCACCTCCATCGAACATGACGCTCAAGACGAAGGAAGAGCTGGCGGCAACCGTCAAGAGAATGTTTTACCACGCGTACGACAGCTACATGACGCATGCATTTCCACTCGACAACCTCAAGCCGATCAGCTGCAAGGGGGAAAACTTTGAGCTGGGCAAGATTCCTATGCTGACGCTCATCGACACCCTCGACACGCTCGTGGTGTTTGGAGACAAGGACGAGTTCCGCCGCGCCGTTGCGCTCGTGACGTCGCACGCCACGTTCGACCTGGACGCCGAAGTTTCGGTCTTTGAAACCACGATTCGAGTACGTCGTGTCCAGTAGGTATGGCGCGTACCTCACGTGGCTGCAGGTGCTGGGAGGGTTGCTGTCCGCGCATCTCTTTGCGATCGATCCCGCGCTCGACGTGTACTCGAACGCGTCGTATTCCGGCGGGCTTCTCGACCTGGCCGTCGACTTGGCCGACCGCCTCTTGCCCGCCTTCCTCACCAAGACGGGCATTCCATACGGCACGGTCAACTTGCGTCGCGGCGTTCCCAAAGGGGAAACCACGATCGCGTCCACGGCCGGGGCAGGGTCGCTCTCGATCGAGTTTACCATGCTGAGCGTCTTGACCAAGAATCCGATCTACGCCAAGGCGGCGCGCCATGCCGTGCGCGGACTCTTTTTCCGGCGGTCCGCGCTCGGCCTCGTCGGCAAACACATTGACACGAAAACAGGCGAATGGACGGAATCGACGAGCGGCCCAGGGTCCAACTCGGACAGCTTCTACGAGTACCTGCTCAAGATGTACGTCCTGTTTGGCGACATGGAGGCGTACAACATGTTCCAGCCCGTGTACTCGTCCGTGATGGAGCACAACAAGCACGGTGACTGGTACACGGACGTGTCGATGTGGGATGGCTGCGTCAACGCCGCGTACGGCGCGTTTGTGTTTGAGAATCTGGTCGCGTTTTGGCCTGGGATGCAGTCGCTTCTCGGCGACTTTACCTCGAGCACGCGGTCGTTGAATGCTTTTTACCAAGTGTGGCAAAAGTATTCGTTCTTGCCCGAGCAGTTTGATGTGGGGCGGTGGCGGCCGAAAAAGCCGACGCTCAATGGGTACCCGTTGCGGCCCGAGCTGCTCGAGTCGACGTTTTACGTGCATGTTGCGACCAACGATCCGTCGTGGCTCACGGCGGGCGCGCTCGCTGTACAGTCGCTCGAGCGATACGCCAAGACAACGTGCGGGTATGCGTCGATCGCGGACGTCGAGAGCCGGGCGCAGGACGACACGATGCCGTCCTTCTTTCTCTCGGAAACTTGCAAGTACTTGTACCTGCTCTTCGACGACACCAACTTTCTACGGACGGCCAACTACGTGTTTACAACCGAGGCGCATCCGTTCCCGGTGCTGCCCCCGGCCCTGGTCGACCCGATCCTTCGCGCGTCCGATGAACAAACCTACGTTATCCCGCACACGATGCCCGCAACGCCGCCGACGTGTCCCGTGCTCGAGTTCTGGCGCGATTTTGGGTTCCACCGAGGGTTCTTTGACGACGCGTTTGAGAAGACTCGGCCGCGATGTCAACCACCGTCCACCAAGAACAAATCCACGGCGCCGTCGGCGACTCGTGGCAAGGACGACGGCATGGCCACGACGTCGTCGCTGTATGGCGGCAAGTTGCTGGGCTCGTTTCAAGTCGAGCAGCTCGTCAGTGGCTTCCGCGTAACCCGGACGAGCCACCCCAACGAATGGATCAAAGTCACCAACTTGGGCGATCCTCAAATCGTCGTCGAGTCCGAGCAACATGCCGCGATGACGTCGTCGCCGCCGCTCACGGAATTCCGCGTATATGACTTTGCCACGCACGCGATGCGTCGATGTCGACTTGTGCTCGCGCGGGGTGCGACCATCAGTTGCTCCGCGGCGCAGTTTGGCCTCACGAGGGATGCCGCTGTCACGGTGTCGATTCAAAACGCGCCGCTCAAGTATGGCTCGCCGGAACAGGGATGCTCTGCGCTCCAGTCGACGCCTCACCGGGTCGTCGTGGTGCATCGAGGCGAGTGCTACTTTGAAGAGAAAGCCAGGCACGCCATGCATGCCGGCGCGGCGGCCGCGGTCGTGGTGAATGCTTTGGACAAGGGCGGCGGGCTCATGATCATGGGCCCGTCAAAAGACAGCACGACACAGACCGACATGGACATCCCGGTCGTGATGGTACCGTTCGGCGCGGATGCGATGCTGCGCGAGGCCGAAGCCAACCACGAGCCGATTTCGTTGGAGGTGGGCATCGTCACGGACGCGCAACATCTCCGAGTGAGTGGCAGTCGCTTCGACATGGCCATTGCCGGGGCGGACGGGTGGGGAATCAAGCTTGTGGCAAAGAGAAAGCCACGTGACGACAACAACGATGCGCTGGTGTGGACCATTTCGATCACCGACGCCGCGGCCGGCGGGACGGTTGAGAGCGCGCGGCACGACGCCGATCCAGCCAGCCTAACGCACGACGACGTGGACGAATATCACATGAAACTCAAGCTGCTCGGCTTCACGGACGACCAGTTGGCTCATATGGGCAGCGACGACCCGGAAGCGCGACTCGATGCACTCGTCAAAGGGCTGCGCGCCCTCGGCCTCGAGGATGTTGCGACCGTGCTGCTCGATGAAAGCAGCAGCACGAAAGAAATTGACCACATCACCGCTCTGTCCACTGGGGTCCCTGCAACCACCGACCCAACCACGCCGTCTACCGCAATGTCCGACAGGCCAGACGAGGCCGCTGGCGATCTCTTCGCATCACCGAAGCTTGACCTGGCTCCAGAAGTGCTCGGACCCGCGCCGTCGACGCGCGACGATCCTCTCGAGCTGCCGTACGACCCACGAAACCCCGACACCCCCGCCGAGTTGCCCGACGGCAGCCCAACAACCCCCTCCTTTGAAAGGGTCGCGCCGCTTCCTGTTGCAGTGGACCGCGATGAACGCGCCGACAAAACATGCGCCGCCAAACGAGACTCGTCATATTGTAATCTAACTTGATCGGGGGCGAGCACGGAGCTGCTGTGTGTGTGCCGCCTACGACAAGTACATTGCTTGTATTTCTTCGCTCGCGGAATCCCGCAGCATGTGCTCCTATATATCTCACGACGTCGTGAAACTTATGACCGACCGCCGCGCCGTACCCGCTCCAGGACGCACTCGCCGCCCGTCGTCATGTCGAACGAGTATTGGTAAAACAGCCCATCCATCGTGGCCACGAGCACCTGCACGTGATGGCTGCCAGGCGCCGGACCTTTCAGCGCGCACAGGTTGGGCATGTTGGGTGTTCGCAGTCGGGCCTGGCACGTTGCCGTGAGCAACGGACCAAGCGCATTTCGTTCCGAGTTGTCAGCCACGTACATAGGCGAAATCGCGCGCTCCTTCCGCGATCCGCGACACAGACGACGGCAAGTACGACCTCAGACCTCCCGTCTTGGCTGGTTTCGAGCCGCTCGGCGCGGTTTGTGCTGCGGTCGCGGGGACGTCCAACGAGGCAGTGACGGGTGCGAGAATCGGCGACAGGGTGTAGCTCCCCGTGGCGGCGCTTTCGGCCCCCGTGAGCGAAAAAATGTGGATCGTGCCCGTGTCGCTGGAGCAGCACAGCAGCGTCGACGTTGGATTGAAAGCTAAGCTGTAGATGGTGGCTGGGTACGAGCCCCGGCGAAACGTCGCGCGCTTCGTGCCACTCGGCACGTCAAACACACGCAGAATCGTTCCCTACTCGATATTATGTCGTCAAGAGCCGACTCGAACGAGAGCGAACCGTGTCGGATGCCGTGGCCAGCAACGTTCCAGTCGCATTCATTGCAAGCGCCACAGGCATCCCTCGATGCGCCTGCACGGCATTGAGAACGCTCAAGTTGATCGCGTCGTAGAGGACGATCTCGCCGGCGACGCCACCGGCAGGGAAGGCGAGGTAGCCATTGTCGGCAGGGGACAACACGCACAGCGCCTTGGGGTTCGACGACGTGTCGAGTGTGTTGAGGACTTGCATCGAGTTGATGTCGAAGATGTAGATCTTCTTCTCGAGAACGACGACCAGTCTAGGCAAGACATGATGCAGGGGTGGACCACTGGCCAGACGTGCCACACACAGTACCTCTGTCGATTCAATTGCACCCCGAGCACCGCCGTGACGAAGTTGAGGTCGCAGATGGCCGCGCTTGTCTTGGTGTTCCACACTCGCAGCCGTCGCGGCGAAAACGCAGGCTGCTCTCCGCCATGAGCACGCCCCACACGAAAGTCAGGATGCACACTGTACCTGCTCCCCTGCACCAACGAGCACAATCAGACTAGAGCTGAACAGCATCTCGGCCAGGCCAATGCCGCCGGCCGCGTCCTGGAACGACCGTCCAAACGGTTCGCAGCTGTACACGAAGAAGCCCTGGCGCGTCCCTACGCTGATGCATCTACGACACAATGCGGCATGAGGCGCATCCAGCCTTCGCGCACTCACGTCGCGTCCTGATTGAAGCTCACGTAGAGCACGGAACTGTCAGGGTCGCCATTCTTGATGCCCATGGACATGGTCCTTGGGGAAGATAGCGATTCGGATAAACACACTTTTATCCGGATCATCGCCATGGAATCGTGCAATTGGAAAGATGGCAGCGCCGGCCGACGTGGCGCGCCGCGGTGCGCTGATCCTCCTGGAAGGCGTGGATCGGTGCGGCAAGTCAACACAGGCAAAGATCCTTGCGCAACACCTGAACGGCGCGCTGCAGAACTTTCCCGATCGCACCACGTCCATCGGGTCCACGATCCATGCGTACCTCTCGAACGCGTGTGACATGAACGACCAGGCGATCCATCTCTTGTTCAGTGCGAATCGATGGGAGCTGTCCGGCAAGCTCTATGATCTACTCAACCAAGGCACGCACGTTGTCCTCGATCGGTGTGTGGTATCTGTCTCATGCTTGAACTGCTCACGGACGCGATGTAGGTATTGCTACAGCGGGGCTGCGTTCACCGCAGCGAAGGAGAAACCTGGGCTGAGCCTGGACTGGTGCATGCGCCCCGAAATCGGCCTTCCTCGCCCGGATGTCGTCATCTTTCTCGATATCTCGACGCAGGATGCTGCCCAACGCGCAGCCTACGGCGAGGAACGGTACGAGAAGCGGGAATTCCAAGAACGAGTGCGCGCCAACTTCTTCCGCATCATGGAGACCGAAGCTGTCAAAAACTCTCCCTGGCACGTGCTCGATGCGACAAAATCCATCGATGAACTGCACGCGACGATTCGCGACGTCGTGGATGCCGTCATCGCTCGAGTCGAGCGCACTCCGATTCGAGTCATCGAATAAAGCAGAAATTGACCACGGCCAGCACATGTGGAGCGCTTTGATGGAACTGCAGCACCATTTCTCCGGAACAACCTGCACGCCTTGCTGGCCGACGCCGCTCCATGATCGAGACGGACCTCGGCACAGGCCGACCTTGCCATCGTCCTGGGACTTTGAATCGTTCCGCATCACTTTCCGACGCATCCTGAATGCACAAGCGCCACAACAACTCGCCTCATCTCACCACTTTCGAGAACGCCAAGAGCGTGCCGCCAGAGACCACGTGATCCGAGTGGTGGCGGTAGCAGGCGCGGCCGCCACGGGACCGCAGTCGCCGAATGCAGATGCCGCAGGTGAGATCCATCGCCCAACAAGCACGTCGCTGCTGCGTGTTGCCGTCGATTGATGGACTCTCGCCGTGAGGCATTCGAGATGACCACACTGGGGACGGCGCTCCTCTCTGCCGGGAACTTGTGCGGCGCGTCCTGCTCTGCCATGGGGACGAGTATCGATGGAAACGAGTGCATTCATGCGATGAAATCTCATGACTGCACAGGAGACTTGGCCGTGCGCTCGCGGCTGTGGCCGCGTGATGTGGTGCCCCCCAAGTCGGACCCTTCCTTCGATCGGCTTGGCGTCAACAGCCTCTTCCTCGACGACGCTTTGTCATGGTTCTTGGCGGTCGAGCTGCCTAAAAGCAGCGACGATCCAAAGCTGAGGCCGCCAATGTTGATCTTGAGCGAACTGGATGAAGTCGGTCGTTGGTCCGCCGTGGGGACGGCGTCGCGGTGGCCGCGTCGGCTCTGATCGCGTGGTCTGTCGGGCTCACTTGCCACGCGCCGCTGCCACCGCCTCAACGCATGTGGAAACAATGGATCGGGTGCAATCGCGTGGATGTCGCCGTGGGGATGCGCCACGTGCAGCCATCCCGCCGCTTCCTCGGCGGAAAAGCCATGACACCGCACGAAGTACCCGCCGAGGAAAGTCCGGGCGCGGTGCAAACCATGGATGGCAACAACGCCCGGTGTGCTTTCGACAGCATCATGCACGCGCGCAAGCATCGCATCGACCGACGCGAGATCGGCGGATGGCGAGTCGAACAGATCCATGTACTCGATCGCGCCGTCGAGGGTGTCATAGCAGTACACGGGTGGATGCAGAGCCAGGATCAATGTGACGTTGTGCGCGTAAAAGAAGGGCAGAAACGCTTCCAGCGCGGCGCATGGACCGGATGGACTGGGAAAAGTCACGAGCTTCTTGCTGAGCCACGTGAACGACGACGCCTCGATGTGGTCGTGAACGACGAGCCCGGCAGCCCGCGCTTTCTCGAGGCCGCGAACGCAGTCGAGGACGTGTAAACTCGACAACGCGTCAAAGAATGGAACAACATGAAGCGTGCCAAAGGGGATCCAAGCGTCGGCGGCGGTCGACGTGGGATGCAGCAGGAGGTGGTAGCAGGCAAGGACACACACCGCGCGAGTTCGGACGTGTGGATCCGTCGATGTCTGCACCGAGACACAGAGCTCGTGGCCCGGCCGTAGCTCGTGCACGTGCGACTCGATGACGCGGCATTGTCGAAGCGTAGGTGTGCACGATGGGGACGACACGTCGAGGTCGAATCGACGCAAGCCATGCGCGATGAACCACGTCGTCGGTGGCACATGCCGCCACTCGACATACACGACTTTATCCGACACATGGACGCGCTGTGTCCAGTCCCACGAGAATGCCATCATCATCCGTCGCGGCGGCCGAACGACGTGGCGGCGGCCAGCTTCCTCGCGGGGTGTTTCACAGCTCGAGTATCTATATGAAACGCTCACTGTACGTAAAGTGAACGGTCCAGTCCACAAGCGCCGACCTGAGCAACCAGCACTGTACGTAAAGTGAACGGTCCAGTCCAATGATGCGCTGACCAGAGCAGCGATCACTGTACGTAAAGTGAACGGTTCAGTTCATCCGATGAGCAACGATCCGAGCAACGACGCATCATTACGTTGGTTTATGGAAGGCCGAGGCGAGGGTAAAGACGTGCCGGCACACAGGGCACTTGCGCGGGGCGATGCGGTGGGTGCAGTGGTGGCAAAAGATGTGGCCGCATGGCACGAGCACGCGATCGACGTGGTGTTCCAGGCAGATCGAGCACACAAAGCTATCCACGAGGTCGTTGTTGACTTGCAGCGCGTCGTTGAGGCGGTCCGCCATGGCCGCATTGCTTTGTTCCGCCGCGGCGACGCGCTGTTGGAGTTGCATGACGTCGGCCACCAACGACTCGTACGGCGCGCTCAGTCGTAAGTTTAGCCGGGCAAGCAATCCGTTGACCGCATCGATCACGTGATGGTCAAGAATGGCCGGTGGCAGAGGCGGCGCGTCGGGCGATGGCGGGATGGCGGCCACGGCACCAGGCGCCACCGACGCACGAGTGGCACGAGGCGTTGTCGCCGAGGAGGGTGCAGTGCCGCGTGGTCGACGCTCCGACTTGAACGAGTAGACGTGCGTGGATCGCATCCATCGTGTCGTCGACGACGATGTCCGCACCAAGACTTGTTGGATGCCCGATACCTCGACGGCCTTTTCGCCGCACACGACCGCGTAAACGTACGCTTGGTTGGCCTCGACCGCGACCACTTCGCCTTCCGTGAACGTCCGCATCGGCTTCAACTCGAGCCGGTCCTTGTCGAACGGCACGAGGCGGCACCCGACTTGTCCTCGAGTCGCATCTGCATCGGGCGCCGTTCGCAGACCGAGACTGCGCAGCATGTTGGTCGGATCGCCGCCGGCAGTTTGGAGCAAGGCGACGACGGGCAAACTGTCCTTGAGTAGACCGTGCAGGGCATGCTGCACTCCCAGCGCGACGGCATGGACTAGCGACACGGCAGGCGGTTCCGTTCGCACGTACATGAGATGGCGATCGGCATCGACAAAGAAGAGCTTGGATGGACGCGAGTCGGACGAAGTCACGTCCTGGCCAGTGGACGCCACCACGTACCGCGTCGGGATGTCTCGAACGCCAACGACAGTGAATAAAGGCCACAATGGCAGGTCCAGCGCGCCGGCGGCAGGTCCAGGAAAATCGGATGCCTGGATGATTTGTTGCAGCCCTGCCGAAAACTCGGGCGAACGGAGGCGCGCAGTCAGCTCAGTCGTGTCATGCACACGGTCCGGGACGAAGGACGGCGCGAGGACCTCGACGACCGCCGCCGTCAAGTTGGGCACACGCAGGTGGTGGCAGATGGCCGGGCCGACCCTCGGGTGCACCACGTGGAGGTGGGAGCCGTCAATGTCAGCAAGCATCGCGGGCGCGTCGTTGAAAACGCACTCGTGGAGTCGCGCCAATCGGTTCGTGGTCGTGGGGACGGGCAGAGTGGCGGTCGAGTCGTCTGGGAATGCTTCGATCAAGCCGAGGATCTTGATGACAGCATCGAGCTCGTTCAAGTTGAGCACGGGGCATTCATCGTGCAATGCGTGCAGCAACGCAATGTAGTCGTCGGCTTGGGGCGCCGGCGTCGTGCCCAAGTCGCGGAAGAGCGCGTCGCATCCGCCAAAGACCCGAGGCACTTCGAACAGGAACGGCGCCAAATTGTCAGCGAGTCGGATGTACAGCCGATTGGCTTTGACGAGCCTCGCTCCGATGGGAACGAGCGGCATGTCTCTCAGCTGGGCTCGGAACGGCGGGGTTACGTCCGACCAGTGGGTCTGGAGGAAGCTAAAAATCGCGAGAAACATGTCCGTCACTGCAAACGAAAAGCTCCACGTTTCCACGAGGTTGGGGGCATGAAGCGCGATTGCTGAAACGTGCTGTATGACGTCGGCCACGACTGGCGGCGACACGAGCCCGACGCGACGCCACAAAATCCGCGGCGGCACAGCATAGCTGTGCAGGATCGGTTTGGCAAAGCACGCAACGAACTGGTCGTCCGGGACAGCGCATTCGTCGTACCGCACCAGCTTGGTCAGATGGGTGCCGTCCACCGGGGAATAGACGGTCGCCGGCACACACGCAATGGCTTTTAACTTTGCGACGAACGCGTTCTCCGCGTGGGTTTCAACGAAGCTCAGGGTGACCAAGTGTTGGTGGAGCATGATCACGAGCTCTTCGGTCGACCTGGTCAACGGAGTCGTGAAATGGGATACATGACAAGCACACCGGAGCAAAATGTCGGGCGAGATGGTCGTGGGCATGCCGATCGCGCCGAGAATAGCGAGCCACGAGTCGCTGCTGTAGTGCGGTGGCGGAAAAAACTCTGGCGAGGACTCGATGAACATGGCCTTCAACAACGGGAGGCGAGGGTCGAAAAAGTTGTAGGCACAAACGTAGCCGCCCGTGGCGCACGGGAAGAGCGGCGTTCGTTGCAGGAATGCCAGCAGCTCTGGTTTATCTTGCATGACATTCCACTTGCGATGAATCATGTCGAGCATCGCGTGCGTCTGGGCCGGCGCTTGGGTCGTTTGGAACTGCGGCATGACAAACTGGATGAACAACTGGGCTTCGCTCAGCGCATCCACACGCAGTTCTTTGTAAAACGGCACCACGACCGACGACGTTGCCGGGTCCAGCTCGAGGAACGAGCCCTGGACGTGGTCTGGCAAGTACGGCGGAAACGTAGAGATTTCAGAGCTCAGCATGACGACGTCGTCGGTGATCGCGACATGCTGTCCGGAAAGGGTTTTGTACATGGGCAATCGACGAAGTTGGTCAATCTGGGCCCGGTTGTACCCGCCGTAAGACGACCCTCGGGACGCAAAGAAGTACACCAACGCAGCCTTGCTCTCGGCCGACATTCCAGCCCACTCAAGCCGTTCGGGCCACTGCGCCAAGCAACCGAGAATGCCCACATGGGCTGTTGGCAGTGGAAACGTGACGTTTTCGTGAAAGTACGCCACTTCCATGGACGGTGCGTGAAGCTTGGAAAGGATGTCAACGATCGAGCGATGCGCAGGGTCGTTTTCTGGCACGGGAAGGATGGCATCACAGGTTTCGCTTGATCGATGCGTATGTGGAGCGGCGTTGTCGGGCTCGGCAACGATTGTGGGCGAGTCGACCACCGCGTCATCTTCGAGAAATACGTCAAGCTGCTTCCTCGTCAGCGACTCCAAGACGCGGCTTTCTCGCTCAAGCGCGGTAAGATCCTCCCGCACGCGATCGTGGCCTTGTCGAACCAACGCACGGAGCTCGACGGCCAGCGAGACATCTTGCCACAGCCAAATGACGCGATCGACATATCTACACGACATGAGCTCACGGCCGCCCGACACTGGAAGCAACGGCCATGCTTGAAACAGGGATGCGTCAGCCTTGGACACTTGACTCCAGAACCGAACAAGCCACAGATCGTCGACGACGCGGTGGTCCCATCGTACACTCGTTTGGTTTTTCCACGTCTTGGGCAGTTGGGTATCCAGTGACGTCGCCAACAACTGCACGCTGAAGTGTTGGGCGCCAATGGCAGCGACAAACTTGGGATCTGCCAACCACGCCGCCATCGAGTGCACGAAATGGAGCGCGAGAAATCGCGCACACAACGTGGGCAGCAATTGCTGTTGATCCATCGTTGCCACGACGAATTTATCCGTGAAGATGTGGTGGCCGTACGGAATGAGACCGACGGAGCCGTCAGCGAGAGGCAGCAGCGGCAGCCCCGCCAATTCATGATACGTCGTCGACGTTAGGTCGGACGCACAGTACTCTAGCAGTGGCATGCACAGGGCGCAGTGGATGGTTGATACGTGCACGCGTTTGAGAAAGTCCCGCAGGACACGGGGCTGCATCTGCGGGATGGCGGCGCCGTGCTCGCGAACGGTTGCGTACACATGCGTGGGCAGTTGAAACATGGCGAAATGGAGGTGACAGTACGATGCCACTTGAATGTGCAGGGTGGCGGGGTCGTACCCGTCGTCCAGCTTGCGCATCGTGCCATCTCCACATAGAAACAACGGCTGCGTCGACAATTTAGAGAGCACGGCGTGTTGAGTGAAAGGACCGACAACGTGGTGGTGGTCGTTTGGGTCGTGGATGCTCGGCCATGCTCGGTACACCGCCTTGGCCGCCTCCTGCCAAGAACATGAAGTCGACTCGCGCGAGAAAAGTCGACGCACCAGCCATGGAGACGCCGCCTGCTTGATGGCCAAGAGCAGTTGAACATACGCTTCGCTGACTGCATCTTCAATCAGAATGCGATTCCACATCGCTTTTGTGTCGTATTGATTGTCCGACGCACCTACAGATTCTTCTCGTGGCTCCATCATCACCACCGTCGATATGCCCATCCTACCGAATCCTTGCAACGGCAAGTCTAGCCCTGCCAGCAAAAAGCCCCCATTGATGTGGACCGGCAGGCCAGTAGCGGTTCCAGACGGCACCGTTGTGCACATTTGCCCAACGACGTGGGTCCCGCCATCGCTCTGGTGCAGCAAGCACGCCACGCTTGCATGTGGCGTGATTCCATGCATGCTCTTGGCCACCTCGCGCGTTCGGCCCACGGCGACGTTGGAGCTGACGAGCCATCGTTGGACACGGGGAACGTTGTTGGTTTCGACACGCACGGTGCATTCAACGACGGTCGCCAGCTCCTCCTTGACGGACCGTCGAAAGAAGCTACTGAGTTGGAACACTGGAGGCTTTTTCCACTCGGAGTCTTGTACGAGCTTGCGGCGGGCACACAGCACACTCGCGTCATCGTACAGTTGAATGTCTACATTGCAATCGCGAGCGTATTCAGACCCGACGCCCAGGGTCCACAGCGTCACTCGACTCAGGTACTGCGTAAAGAGCACCGACACCGCCGCCGCCTCCTTCACGGCCGCGTCGAGTTGGGCGACCAAGGCAGCGGTATTGATGACGGGGCATGCGGGAAACGAATCGCAGGGTAGCTTTCGCCACGGACACCGCAGCACGGTGCCCGAGAACCCGCTTGTGGGGTTGCTCGGTGCGAGTGGCAAGCACGTAAAGGGAACAAGTTGGTCGCTGTAACGCTGAAACTCTGTCGACTGGACCGCATAGCAGATCGCGCCAGGTACGTCGACGTATATGCCGCACGGATCGACAACGTAAAACGCGTCTCCAGCGAGAACTTGTACACAGTTGGCCACGTAGAGTCCCGTGAAGATGGCGTGGATGTCGCCGTAGAGCTCGTCGGCGGACATGACGTGGTCATGGAAGTGAATCAAGAGCGATTCTTCCTGGAGAGATTGAAACGTCGGTCGACACACCTTTTCACGGGGATGGTGCCGTTGGTCCAGGACAAAGTCGACGTGCGAGACGTGCCACTTGTCGGCCAGAGCCGTCACCGCGCGAAAGAGTTGAAGGTTCCATGCGTCGGGGTGATTCAAGTTGGCTAGAACCACGGGTACGGGCGGCAGCCCCATCTTGACACTGCTGGACGATGCGCTGGCAATCGAAGTGTGCAACGACGTCGCTCCAAGTCGAAGGGCGAGTTCGACAGGGACGTTGGGGTGCACCAGCCTGCGGTGACAGCGAATGTCTTGTGCTGGATTCCACGCCATGTCGTCCGCCGTGAGGTTGGCTGCTCGGACCAAGCGCAAGTCAGCATCCGGGAGAAGGACGTCGGTGCCGATGGACGGAATCGACGTGTTGTCCATCGTGGTGTGGATCCAGGCAAGCAAAGCCAACGCAACATCCATTTCTCGATCCGACAGTCGCCGTGTCTGGGGCAAAGACTGAAGCGCATGGATGTAATCGCTCGAGTCGAACGCGTCCTTGATGGCAAAAGCATCGAGAAGGTCCGTTGGCACGCTGAAGCAAGAGGACGGTCAAAATACGCCAACACAGTGAGAGACTCGTACAGAGAGGCGGACGGAACAGGACAAAGCAGCGGCTCCAGGTTGGGTGGGCAACCAGTCGCGACTTGGCTGACCTTGACAAAGGTGAAGCCCGTCCACAGCCACGCAATCTCTTCCAGACTTGGTCTCCATTCGTCCACGGGCAAAGTAAGCAGCGCCACATACAAGTCTCGAACGTGATGAGTCATGTCTGCTTGGGCTTCGGCCGTATCGCACGTTGAAAACTCGCTCAGGGCTTTCAGCTGCGCCACGACAACTGTTGACGTGACGTTCCAGTTGAAAGCACTCGCCAGCGTTTTCGACTCGACATGCCCCAGCAGGATGCACTTGGACGACGAACCAAGCCACTAGCGTGACCGTGAAAGACCATGCCAAGAATCGGAATACACCTACCGCCATGTCTTGAGCCCACGTCGTATCTGGGCTTGCCACGTACTGAGTTTGCCGCCACGGCAGCAACGGATGCGCTCGCTCGATGGCGACGGGAAGCCAGCACAGTGTGGCGAGAGCAGTCAAGTGCGGGGCATCCGTGGTCGGATTGTAGAGCGAGTCCAAGTGTTCGTTGACGATTGCTAGCAAGTGACATGCCCGCGCATGGGCATCTTCCGATCGGTTCCTTCTCGACATGTCGTCGATCGCAGCGGCGCTTTCCGCCATCGCCTGGACGGACAAATGCTGCTTTAGCCCGAGTTGCCGCAACACGTCCAAGAGCGTCGGCGTGCACAGGTCTTGCGTCGGAAAGCTTGTCGGGCCGAGAAGACCGGCCAAGTCGGGCTTGGTGGGGTCGTGCAGCTCTGAAACGCGGCGCAACGGACTCGACGAGCTCTGGGTCGGCACAACCAGCACAGCCTTCAACGCATCTTGATACGCTGCAGACGCGTGCGTGAACGACGCCAACGAGTCGATCAGAATGTTGAGTTGCATGGGGCGGGCATAGTTGGCAAGGCAGGGAAGTACATGCTCGAGAAACACTTGGTCTTGCGTCCATTCGGGGATGCCGGCATCGCGGCAGAATTGCCGCTCCGTCAACCCTTGTGGCCGGAGGAAAGACGTGCCAAGGAGTGCGGGGTTGCAGTCGATAGGGGCCAAGACCAGCGGTAGCTGCGACTCAAGGGACACAAACGTGCGGTCATTGCCGCCATGGACTCGAAACAACTCGAGCGTGTGGATGACCGTCCGCTGTCCGTCCGAGTAGTCGTTGTAGAGTTGCTGGCACACGATCGCGAGGAGCATCTCGCGTTCGTGCAAACTAGCCGTCTGGATCGCATGGGGGTGACGTGCCAAGAGATGGATCAAACTCGTCGACGTCAGGAATGTGCAGTAGCTGTGATTCACGAGCCATGGAGGGCATTCTTTATGGGGAAGGAGCGGCGTTTCGAGGATGTATTGCCCAAGCGGTGTAAAGAAGGACCGAACGAACGGGTTGCCCACCAGCGAGTCGTCAACCACCAGCGTCGGGACCTACACAACCCGGTCATCGACCCATTCGTCGCACTGCTCATCGGGAACACCTGCAGCTGGACAAGCACCAGCGTTCGGTCAGGTAGCATGCATGGCTTGCACGGCCACTCGTGCAAGACAGTCCCATCTCCATTCGTTTCCACGTAGGCAGTGACGTATGTCCAAAACGTCCGGAGCCACGATGCCGACACGTGCGAGCTGGTCGGATCCCATGGCACAAGTTCTTGTCCATGCCACGTTTTGGGGAAAAGCGGCAGGGACGGCTCCCCGAGAGAGTACGACTTGACGTTGGAGGCGTCGGTAAGCCCTGGGACAGCACACAGCACGTGTCCGCAGAGGTCCATATTCAGGCGCCGATCGGCATATCCACACCCATCAAGCAACTCGTTCTCGAGCGCCGTCGTGCAAAACACGGTCTCTGCGATGGCACGCTTGAGCACGAGTTGTCGAAATGTTTGGTTTTGCATGGCTAACAGAGGCAGGCCATCGAGTTCGCTCAGCGCGCCGTCTTCCGTGCAAATGGCAACTACGTCCGGCACCAACGGCCGCGGCAACGCGTCGATGCGGATTCGGTGCGTGCGGAGAAGGTGGCGAAATGTGGACGACGTCAAACTCCCAAGCACGACCTTCAAGTCCACGACAAGGCAAGCCAAGCCCGGAGGGAGCACTGCAAACGGGATGTTGCTTTCACGGAGAAGACGCTCCAGCACCGTCGTCCGCGGCGACAGAGAGTCCGATACCACTACGTTCGACAACGGCACAGCATCACGTGTTGGCTCGGTGCGAATCAATGGAATGTCTCGAATGACTCGAAAGAGCGCGGCCACCACCAAATTCCATGGACATGGCGGCATTGCGGCCGGAAACAATGCCAATACGTCGTTGTTTGGCAGGTCCAACTGGGCAGTTTGCAGCATCGCCGCGTAGGCTGGCACGACGACATCGACCAGCAGGCGGGTATTCCACTCGGACCGCTGCTTGCCTTCGCCCGTCATGTCATCTAAACGCATCGTGGCACACGTTTCAAGTTGGACGCGGTATCCTTACCTCCGTGCCAAATGTCACGGCGATTTGACGACAGCTCAAAGTACCCGTTGATCTAGCGATGGAGGTCAGTGCACGGGCTACCGATGTCGCCATACATGAACAGGCAAGCCGACTTTGACAGGGAGCGGCAAGAAGCTGAACGCGCGGCCGTCGAGGGGATCTCCAACGCGAGCGGCCACGGCTGCGTATGGGATCAGCTTGAGTGCTTGGTTCGCCAGCGCCATTTCTTGCGCCAGCCCGCATCCAACGGCATGAGTGATCCAGTACATGTCGTCCGAGTTGTGTGATGTGGTGACGTGGATGCGGTTGGTCTGAACGGCGACGGCCGTTTGCTTTGCCAAGTGCGCGTAGAATGCAGCCTTCGTTGGAAACTGGTTCAGCGGATGCGGGGGTCTCTCGTGGACTGAGCCTTCGTACAGCAGCGTGGGGGCATCGTCGCCTTCGTCTAGGATATACACGGAGATGCGCGAGACATGTCGAAGGAAGAGCAGCGTCGACGTCAGCGACTGCTTGAACAGGTCAAGGAATTCAAGCATTTGGGCATCGGTGTAAACGCCCTTCTTGATGTCGCTGCGCGCACCCGTGTCGGCATTTCGCAGTGGAAATCGAAACAGCGTGCCATCAAATCTGCATGCAACACACTCGCTCAGGCGTCGAGCCAGTCGGGCGAGCGCGTACCGATGACTCGCCACATCGCATCCAAACAACGCGTACGGCGCAAATTGGTCGGGAAAGTGGCCGACCAAAGACGAGTTGGTCAGGCGAATCTTGATGCCAGGGTGCGTGGCGGTCGCATTCGGAACGTTCGTGGCGTGCGGGTCGAACATCACTACCAGAGCTGCCTCACCACGGCCATCGTGTGGCGCACGTACCAAGCGATTCCCCAGACACCAGAGACGGAACATCCGTCAAGTGGTACACCGAGTTGAAGCCGAGGCCGAAGCGACCTGTCGTGGAGAGGTTGCCAAGTTTCGAGCCTTGTCCGATGCGCGCCAGGTTGGCAAAGTCGCTGTCTCTGAAAACCGCGTCGTTGTACTAGAAAGACATTCAAACCACGACAACCGGCATCGCGACGTACACAATACAGAGCCGCGCCTTGCCACAGTCCCAACGGCGCGCTCAGAAGCGACGACGACTTGAATGTTTTTCGGCTGTAGCAAATGCTAAATTGCGTGGCCTGCGCATCGTCTGCGTTTTGCACGAGCTCGTTCAGAATGCTTGTGCCCTCGGGGTACTGCTCCAAGATTGAAGCGAGCCGTCGAGTGAGCGGCTCGGACTGGCCAAATGATTCCACGCCTTGCAAATGCTCCGACGTGGCCAGGACCAAACATGACCGAAACGAAATGCACCCGAGCGACGCCGCCACGACGTTTGAGATCTGCGAGTGGACAAAGACGAGGTGGGGCGGCGGAGGGTCGACCCACGGCGCGTCGTTGAACGCGAGCGTCGTCGCTTCCTGTAGCGTCGCATTCGCGCTTGGCATGTACACAGGGCGGCCAGTCGAAGGACGTGGCATGTCACTGAGCGCTTGGATGAGCTGCACGGCCAGCGCCAACTCGTCTTGTCGAAGCGCCACGTTGTTACCCGACAACTTGGCGTCGTACATGGCCTGCAGGACAGAGACGTAGTCGTGCGCTTGAAATGTTTGGCGAACTCCCATCGACTTGAAAAACGACGCAAACCGATCGAGCGCGCGAGGAACGGCCGCCAGGTAAGGCGATGCGTGGATGTAGCACTCGACGGCGACTTGTGACGATGTATAAAACGTGTCTTCAATCCAGATCCACGCCGCGTCTGCGAGCAGCGGGCGAACCATGTCGGTGGGATGGCGGCCACATGCCTCGTAGATCCGACACGTTGCTGTGGAATAGGCGGGGGACCGCGACGGCATTTGGTGCATCGCGCACAGTTGGCGAACGAGGACTGCCGGTGGAAGAGCGCGTTTCCAGCCAAAGAGCTCCCGCAGCGCGTCGGACGTGATCGTGCCGTCCAAGATGTAGCAACTCGCAGAACAGAGCCACATGTCGTCGGTCAGGCGCACGTCCCTTGGCAGGGCAAGCGTCACCACCGGCGTTCGCATGGGCTGCGCGGCATCGGTGCCAGTCGTCAGGACAGGAAGCCACGCATGCGACGTCAACGAGTCCCGCAACGCAATGATCTCCTTCATCTCGTCGGCCAAGTGCGTCGCCGTGGTGTGGATCTTTTTCGGTTTGAGGAAGAATGGCAGCTTCTTGGATGGTTTCGCCACGTTCTCGGTGGGATGCAGGAGCGTGTCGGCATGGGTGTCGATGTACGTGACAAACTCCTTGGCGCGGTGCACGTCGGGCAGTTCGGCACTTGCCAGCGCCACAATCAACTGGCAGATGGACGGTCGAGTGAGCATTTGCTGCAGCCCCAGCAACCGCATCGCCGCCAACGCGTCTGGAGATGGCGCGACAGGGAAACAGCTCGGATGGATCATGCCGACAAACATGTCGATCTCAGGGTCGTACAGTTCCGTGATGCGCTTCAACGGGCCAGCCGCCATGGTCGGGAAGATGGCGAGGTCCTGGAACGGTCCAAGTGGTCGTTGGAGGAAAAGCGACACATCTCGCAGGACACATTCGATGGCGGCGTGCTGCCTGTCGATGGCCATCGCAGGCATGGCAGGAAAGAGCTTGGTCCAGTAGAACGTCATCTTGTCCAGCACGTGGACGTTGAGCACTCGAGTCGCGGCCGACGACAGGACGTTTGGCATCATGCAGTGTGGGTCGTCCTGCGCAAGCAATTCCACGTCAACTTGTGGCGCAACGTAGGTCGATGGGGTGATGGAGATGGCCCCGTCGACGCCGGGAAAGATGGGAAGCGACTTGAGGTGCTGTACTGCGTCGTTGTCCATGTCGTGGCAGTGATCGGACAAAAGGAAGTCCCTCATCGTCGCCTTGTCGTCCATCGACAGCGCTTGGCACATGGCACGGGACAGCGTGGCCAACACGCCGTGGGGCGTCGGTTGCTGGATGAAGTTCCAAATCGTGTGGTGGGGAGTGTTTTGAAACAGTCGCGGCGCCAGCATATCGACCCCGATTGTGTCCAAGATGGCCACGACCGCGTCCGGCAGCAACTCGCCGCTCACGACCGTCGACTGCCGATGCAATGCGCACAGAGCGGCGGATTTCGTTGGAAGCACCGGCCATTCATCTTGGAAAAGCTCAAACTTGGCGGGAGACGGACCAACATACGACCAGAACGATTGAAACCAGGCAAACGACAGCGGGGGATCCTGGGACCACTTGGCCACACGCTGCTGGTGCTTCCACTCGCTGGGAAAGACGTGGCGGCCCACGAGATATCGAAACGAGTCGATTGTGACCCTCTCAACGTTCAAGTGCCGGACGGACGTGACGAGTGCCACCATCCTCTTGCTCAGCACCGCCGTATTCACGAGAACGTTTGAGCACGATGCCTGCAGCAGCTCCAGCTCCAGAGGGTCCCCACACACATAGTACGTCGTCATGGCTGCCGCGGTGCTGCTGGATGCAGTAGCATCATGGGACAGCAGCCAATTCAACGCTTCGGACGCGTCGTGGGTCGTTGTGAGGGCGGCGACGCAGGACGTCTTGTCGAAGCCCATGGCGGAGAGCTGTGCCAGCGCGTCCGCATCAACTCCGGCGCCGTCTTGAAAGGTTCCTACGGATCCATCCAAGAGGGGAACGAGGTCGACTCCCACGATTTCTTGCGAGTTGGTTGAGTTGATGTCGTCGAAGCAAAACTCGGTCAAATGCCGCATGGCGACGGGATCGCTTCCGTGCGATGTGCGGTGCGCTTTGTACCAAGATCTGGCGTCCTGTGGAGCGAATGGGGCGGGGATCGTCCTGGTGTCCAGGAGCAAGCGTTGCAGAGAAAGATCGAGAGACAAGAGCGGCACGCTGTCATGTTGCAGCACCGCTTCGACCGTGTTGCGGTGCGGCATGTCCACTGGCAGCACCTTGGCTTCCGCGGGCGACACGAACGAGTTGGTTGCCCTAGCGAACAAGCACGGCTGCGTCTGGATTAGCCGGAGCATCGACAAGACGAGCGCTTTTTGCCACGCGATCGCCGGCACATGCGACGGAAACAGGTATGGAGATTCGTGGCGGATGGTCGCGATGGCCCGGGCATAGCACGGCGCGATGACATCCTTCAACAGGGCATCGTTCCACTGCGCCCGAAGGAGGCCGTCGCCGCTGAGGCCATCGCCGGTCCAGATGTCCCGTCGATTCGAACTCAGCTCAAAGTACCCGTTGATGTGGACGGGAAGACCGGTTTCCACAGGCAACGGCAGGAAGCAGAACGCGCGGCCCGGCACGGCGGCATCCAGCCTTGCCGCGACTCCGCCGTACGGAATGAGGCGGAGGCTTGCATTGTCTGGGTGGTTGGCGATCATGGAGCATGTCCCGCCGCCGAGTTGGTTGCACACGAGCCAAGACGCGTGATGGTCCATGTTGTGGGCAATGTCTCTCGTCGTGACCTTCAAATGGACATCCCACGACGTACCTGCTTGTGAAAAAGGTGGACGAGCGACGATTTGGCTGCGACATGCCAGCGACTCAACGACGGCGGCGGCGGCGGTGGTGTAGCGCATGGACGGCGCATCTTGGCCATCCGTCCATTCGTAGATGGAGATCTTGGCAAGATGTCGCAAAAACAACAAGACCATGGTCGACTCGACAAAGAACTCGTCCAGCAAGTGTTGAATGTCCTCGCACGTTCGAATGGACGCCGATAGTTTGCTTCGACGGGCCTCGTTCGCCGTGCGCAATGGGAGCCGAAACATCGTGCCCTGTGGCCATCATGCACGTGACGACATCATCATGGACCGGGAACGAATTACGTGGAAATGTGCCGCTAGATTGCATCCAAATCCCTTGAACGGCGCAAACTGGTTGGGAAATTGGGCGAGAAGGTCTTGCCGCGCGAGAAAATCGATGAGCTTGCCAGGGTTGCTCGGGTTTACGTTGGGGAGATGGGTCGCCTACACCGACGTGAGACAGAGGACTGCCTGGGAAAGAAATTACCTGAGGGTCGAACATCACGATGCGCCGACCGCTGACAAACGTGGGAAAGTCCGTCAGGTGGTACACTACGTCCAACATGACCCGTCCATTCGACGGCCGCCAGGGTACCTGAGTTGAATCCAATGCCGAAGCGTCCGGTCTTCCATCCCTTCGACGAGTCTTTCTTCAGGGAGTCTCCGATGCGCTAACGTACACCGTATGAATGACGGAGAACGCGGTGTCCTCCGTACTTGGATCGATTCAAAGTCTACGTCCGTGAACTCCGCATTGTTGTGGACCAAGAGGGACGGGCCTTGGAACACAGCAAGCTTTGTGTACGCAAGGTTGTCTGAAGCATGCGTTCGCTTGTCCAGGCAGAACGAAATCTCGGTCGCGCCAGCGTCATCTGCGTTCTGCACCATCTCTTTGAGAACGGACGTTCCCTCTACAACGACTGCGTCAAGAACGGGTCACGCCATGCTCGTCACCTGGATAGTTTCGCAGGATCTCTCTGATGCGCACAGTGAGGTCGATCTTCTGGCCAAAATCATCTCCGAACGATACCGCCTCGGTCATCTCGGGCGCGGACATGAAAGTTCCTCTCGAGCTTTCGTCCAACATGACCGTCATTCTCGAATTTAAATGACATTAATCTTGAAAATTCATCTATTTTGTCCAGCGCATTCAAAAACTCCCACGTCGAATGCAAAGCGTCGACGCGCACGACGCAATTTGGAGCGTTTGGGGCCCGCTACGCTCTCTACGACCCTCGCTAGCAGCCCCCATGGATCGAGCATGCCTTATCTGGTGGCATATCAAGCGACTCCATGGCACTTGCCGTCGTGCAATCCTTCTGTGCCTCTCACATCTCTTTCTCGACAGAACGCGTTCGTCCAGCATAACGACGGTCTTTTGTCTTGTTCGGATCGATGCTGCCAAGCATAAACCATCGTCGTCTGGCCAAACCCAGCCACTCCCCCCTCCGCCCCCTCGATGCCCCTAGCATAGAAACAGCCCCGGTACCACGGATTCAAACAAAATTTGCCCCCCCCCTCGTACGCCTCGCAGACTCGGGACAAGCCGCTGGCGACGTCGCAAAGCAGTCCAAGCAGCGACAACCCCCCCTCCGCCGGGTTGAAATCGCAACTTGTCTCCGCTGCACGAACGTTGGCCAATCCAGGCAACGTACGTGGGGACCTTGAAGTTGGCCGTGGAATCGCGCACTTGGATTGGATAAAATACGCATGATTTCAGCAAATGAAATGCATTTTGTATAAAGTATTGAAGGTTTGCCGAACCAGCGAGGTTGCAACTTCAAATTGAAACCCAACTGCATTCGACAACTTGGAATTTGTATGGGATTGGCCGTGTGCGGCGGGAACTACCGGATAATGCCGGATAAACCTCTGGCATTTTAATTGTTGAAGTGAACCGATGGTTTTGAGAACTTCACTTTGCGACCGCCATACCCCGCCCGTGCCGCCGCCGCCGCCACTCCGTGGATCGCCTCGCACACACGAAGCATCCAAAGTGACTTTGATACGTATATTGACTATATGTTAACTGTGCAGCATCACGAAACTCCGTCCGCAGCAGCACCAGCCTCTGCGCCGCTGGGATTTCTCATCCGCCTGCCGACAGCCGCGCCAGCTTCCGTGACGCCGTCGGTCGCGGGGTTGGCACATTCGAAGCCCCTCCTCGCGCCAGTCCCTCACTCGAGTGCACCGACCCCTCCACAAGCACCTCCCGTCAACTATTCGAGCGACAACAATTCATCCGATGCGGACGACTGCAGTTCGCCGTCGTCTCGCTTTGGTGGCGACAAACGCGACTCGAAGCGGTCGACCAAGTCCAAGTGTCCGCCTGGGCTGCGCAGTGGCAAGTGGACCCCTGAGGAAGAGGCGTTCACGAACAAGATGATCCACTTTTTCCGACTCGGACTGCTAGACATTGAAGACGGCACGTCATTGCGGTGGTATCTGTCCAAGAAGCTCAATTGTGAAGCCATGCGCGTGACGAAGAAGCTCAAAGGAAACAGTTCGATCGGGAAGCAGATCTTTCGCGCACTCGAGAGCACCGCGGAGACGGCCAAGTCGATCCAAAAAGCTGCCATGGAGCTGCAGGTCCTCGAAGATGAGTTTTTCACATCGCTCGCCATCAAGCCAGCCATAGCACCGAAGACGCCGATTCCATCATCTGGTCGACAGAGAGGAAGCTCGTCCGCCGACACAAAGTCGTCTGCCCATCACAGAACGTCGAGGTCTGTGCCAGACCACAGTGACGAGGCCGAGCTTCTCCTGCACTTTTGCCTCACAGCCCATCGCGGCGAGAAGCGGAAGCGCGTGGACGAGTCGGTCGTGTTCCTGGTCGACTCGTTTCAATAGCCCAGACGCACCAGCACAGCAGATAGCTCTTAGTAACATAAACCCACCGTCCCCATTTCAACCTCCTCCACCACTTGGCGCGGTCGGCAGAGTGCGGCTCGCCTCGGTCCCTCCTGGTGCGCTCGATCCCTTGGACGCCCATGCCAGCAGCCACTTGAGATTGGTCAAGATGGATTTGCAAGCCTTCGTCCATGACTCCTCGTCCCGCAGGAAGAGGAGGCTGAGACCGCCGACGTCCGCCGTCGTGCGCCCGATCTACACACGCCATCAACCACAACCTCCATGACGGGCATCGCCACCTTGTAAGGCAACCGAAAGGTCGCGTCGGCGGCTTCCGCGTGGTCGGCCAGGTGCGCCACGCACTGCAGCAGTGCCGCCAGACCAAGGTTGAATGGGCTTTCGACAAAGTTGTCAGTGTCACTTCCGTGGCTACCACAAGAGAGGGTTATGAAAGCAAACGAACGACCGCTTACAGCGAATACTCCAACACTGGCGACGGATGCAGCCGCACGATCTTGGATAGACTGCCGAGTGGCACGACTTGGAAGTTGCAGAACGTGATCCCCATGGCTTCGGCCAGGAGCTGCACGACAAGCGCGACGTCGCCCCATGCCGCATTGATCTCGTGCCAGTCGATGTGATGCCGTGGAAGCCGCCCGAGGCAGAACCCGTTGATCGTGCCAAACGGCCCTTTGTGCCAAATGTAAAACGCGTCGTTCCACAGGTTCATGCGCCGAATGATGTGCAATCGCGACTCCATCTCGAGCAGCCGCGCAACGCTCGCGTCACGAGCGTCGTGGGCTTCGCCGACCGCCATGAGTTTGTCGTTGATGGCAGTCCACATCTCGGCTTCCTCTTGCTCGATCGCGCCAAGTTCGTCCTGCAACTTCTGGAACTCGAGATGGATAGACACACGTTCAGCATGCATGGAAGCAATCGTGGGATCGATAGAGTTGACGGCAAAGACGGACGGTTGCATCGGCTCCTTGGTCGAACGCGTTGGCTTCGGGACGGATGCAATGAACGTGGCAAGGGCCTTTTTCTCCTGGCGTGCCCGCGCATCGCTCTTCTCTAGCATTTGTGTGAGAAGTTGGAGGCATTCGGGGCACAGAGCTGGAACGGAAGTGGTTGCACTCGCCGTGATGCTTTCACTGATCGCGTGCAGTCGTTGGATCTTCTTGACGTGCGAACTCACGTCGGCATGGGAGGACTCGCGGTCTCTCATCACGGACATCGACATGGACGACGCAGATGGCATGTGCATGCTAGTGGCATTGATGTTCACATACGACTCGTCCAAGCCCGAGCCATTGTGTCTGCAGCGCATGCAATGCAGCTTCATCATGGTCGTCGGCGGCTCGGCGCAAATTTCTTCCAAAGTAAAACGTATTTCACGTCTTTCCGTCAAATTAAAAAAACGCACTCTCCTTCGACCAATTGGACCACGAAGCAGGAAGCATCAACACAGCCCGTGGATCCGATCCAATGTACGAAATGGCATACACTGCCACTCGCACGACCGTGCTCGTGAGCGCCACGCAACGATGCCAGAGCAAACGTAGGAACACAAAAGGCATCGGATGACGTTAAACCATACGTTTTATTGACATGACGTTTTACGTGAGCCAATCAAATGGCGGGAATGCTCCCTCGTATTTTTAGGATCCTACGACGAAACGGCACTTGGAGAAAGTCGGCGCACCGCCGGCATGGACGGATCGGCGCCAAAGAGCAAGCTTCTCGAGGCAAAGCAGGTATGTATGTCCTTCGCCGTTGGGTGCTTTATGCGCGCTTACGTTGTGGTGGCGCAGAGGCGAAAAGACGTGTCGAGCGACGCGACGTTGCTGCAGAATCGCATTGCCCTGTTGAAGGTGCATCGATCGGAGCGGCGACTTGTGCATGGATCAACCGCCGTCGGTCTGTAGGCGGAAGAAGCGCGCGCATGGAAGAAGATTGAACAGACCAAGAAGCGCGCGATGGAGCTCGTCAAGTTGCGCCAGGAAAAGGAGAACTACGCTCGCGAGCGCACGGCTCTCATGACGAATGCGGAGCGAGAATTGCAAGCGCAACAACAGATGAAGCGAGAGCTTGTGCTTGCTTCGGAGAAGAAGGAGATCGATCAGCAGATCCTCGAACAGAAGCGGTCCGATGCACAGCAACTCAAGGAAGATAAGCAGAAGTGGCGGCAGTTCACGGAAAACAAGAAGCGCCTCGAGTTGGAGGAAGCCGTGCGTCGTCGAGAGGATGTGCTCAAGCAAGAAAACCAACTCAAGCGCGCGCGCCAGGTCAAACAGGCAAGGAACTTCGCGATCCATTCCATCGCGCCGCTTACCTCGAGGTATAGATGGAAGTCGAGCGCGCCAACAAAGAGCGCGCAGACAGCATCATCCGCCGAGAAGAGCAAGCGTGCTTGGACAAAGAACAGGAAGTGCAAGAAATGGAACGGCTCGAAATGGAGCTCATCCAGCGCCTGCGCAACACGCAGCATCTCCAGAAACAAGCGTACGAAGAGCTCGAGCAAGCTCTCAGTGGCGGCTCGACGTCCATCATGCCCCAGGCCAGCGTCTCCACGAGAAGCCAAGTATAAACAAGAGATTCTGCTAAATTCGTGTCGACGGCTGTGCTGCTGTAGTGCAAAGCCCATCGCATAGCTTCGCCTTGAACTCTCGACAACGTCATGCTTCTGACGAACTGCGGCGGGATCAGCCCGTGGTCGCTCGTCTGGAGCGCGGCACAATCTGCCATCGGCATTTTCATGCCTTGCCACCTCTCAATCGGAGTCGATACAATCTCCATCGACGGCAACCGATACGCACCGGTCGTCGGGCAGCCTCTGTGTATTAATTTGACTCGAGTTTCCACGACCAATGCATGCCATGCGCTGCCACCTCCATGGAAGGGCTGGCCCAATGTGGAGGCGATGGACATTGCAAACGAGTGCATTTCTCGTGCGAGCGCCGGCGGGCCGTGCAGTTGCTGTCGCGGAATGTGGTCCATCTAGGCTCTGGTTGTCGCTGCATTATTCAAAGAATACATGCAACATCGGCTTCATGTTCATCCCTCGCCATCTACTACTTTTTGCAAACGAGAACCCGGCCGCACTTGTAGTACCGCGAGACAGTATCACGAGGCGCGGACGTCGCCGCCATCGCAGTGCCGACAGATCGAACGTTTTCGGGGAAGTTGCACGTGTGATTTTTCTTCTTTTGGCCGCACCGGACGCAGTTGTAGATGGTCCGTTGATTGTACTTGCGCAGCGGTGGCCGGGTTTTTGGCACCGATGGCAGGAGGCACTTGGCAAGGGTCGGCCCTTGCTTGGATGACGGAGGAGGTGGCAGGAAGAGAAATGGCAGCGGCATGACGCGCGGAAGGATGGGACCAGTTGGATCGGACGAAAGAGGAGCCGGCAGCATGTCGTATTCAAGCGGGCGAGTGCTCCCCATGAGGAACGTGTGCAAGTCACGCTTTTTCGACACTCGATCACGGCCCTCGCTGTCGCGTTCTTCGTCTTGGTCATCTTCGTCGTCGTTGCTGTCGACGTCTGGTTCCAAGTAGTCACTTGTGGTTGGCACCACGTGATCATTCGTCGTCATGCGCGCGAACACCTTTTCTCGTATCCTGGTCAACAGTGTCGCGCATCGACTGTGCTCTGCTGGTAGTACGGACGATGATGGACTGGTCCGGACGGGGCTTTTATCGGGGCTGTCCACTTCGTGCAGGGGTGGCGGTCGCCTTGCTCGCCTCCAATCGTGAACAGTCTCATTTGCTATATGGCGGGGGTTGTCCATCAGACGCAGCGTGTACGGTTGCGGTAGGCCTATCTCGACTTCATCCAGGTAGTTGGTCTCGCTATCTTCGTCCACATCTCCATGCACGACAAAGTCCAGCGCCGACATGGTGTCCAGCTGCGGCCAAATGTGATCTTTGGTTTCAATCCGGATAACTCTGCCCAATCCTTCGTGCAGTCATGAAAAAAATAGTGCCAAAGCGCCGTACATTTGTAGTCTATTGATTTTATGTGCTGTTTCCATATTGTATTTATCGTCAACGAGTTACAAATGTCCAATTCAAATTGGATGAATGACATACAAAACACGGTAGAGGAGCCACAGTCCGGATAATTGCAATTGGCACCTCCTAAAGATCCAATTCGAATATCCATGGAACATGACCGCGGCGCCGTTGCCGTGGTGGACTCGCCGCTGTCCCTGCAGAAATGCGAGCTCCTGTCGGGACTACAGACGTATGCCGTCCAGATGCTACTCTTCGTCATCGCGTTGACGTCGTTGTGGTACAAACGCCACGTCGAAAGACCCAAGCGATCCGTCGAGATCTGGATGATGGATGTGAGCAAGCAAGGCTTGGGGGTACAACTCAAGCCGTTTGAAGTCACGAGCTCACGCGCCGATGTATAGGCTGTCGTGGGCCATTTCACCAACATCTTGATTGCTATTTCACTCCCGCACGTCACGGATCAGGTGCGAAATCACTAGAGCGTCGGCAAACTAACACACCAGGTAGTGCGTCTGGTACTTTCTCAACTTCTTCATTGACTTCACTCTCGGCACGGTCATTTCGCTGTCGTTGCTACGACTTCAACAAGAGGCCGCACTGTGGGCGAACTTCCCCGTGCTGTTTGAGAGCGGCGACTACGGGTCTCCTCCGTCGTACAGGTGCAACTTCATCCAAGTTGCCAAGTTGTGACAATGCTGCTACAGAATATGGGGCATCCAACTCGCGGCGTGGCTGAGCATCATCATCTTCTCGAAAGGAATCGTCACATCCGTGCTCATCGCGACAGCACATCCTCTTAGCGCCATCGGAAACGCACTCTTCCGTCCTCTCGCGGGCCATCCCTTTGCGGAACTCGTTCTCGTCATGATCGTCATTCCCAGCTTCCTCAACGTCGTGCAGTTTTGGATACAAGACAGCTTTCTCAAGCGCGATGCGGGTGGAATCTTCGCGTACTACGCCCGAGGCAAGACTTCCTCGGGCAGCATCTCCGCCAAGCACTCCTCCATCAACATGGATGCGTCGCTCCACGTCGGGCTCCTCGATTAAGTTACATGTACAATATAGACCAACACGACTAGCGTTTTCAATTGCGCAGCGACGATGACGACGTGGCCATCCCAACAGGTGTCGAGCCCATCGCCTACAAAGTGGCAAAGCGCTTGGACGTTTTTGCCTGCATGAGCTTGCGT